AATTGCATGTTTTTTTTTGCTTGTGACCGTGAGAATTGAGCAGAAATTATTAAGAAATTATGTTTGGAGGTGTAACAAAGATTAATTGTATTTAATTGTATGATTTGTGTACAATTATGCATTCTTGTTTTGTTTCTAGTCCAAATATCTACATTTCAAAGCAAAAATAAAATTATTTTACTAATAATTTGGCTTGTTTTAAGGAAAAACTCTTAATTCTGACTTATTTTTTTCTGAAGGTAAAAAAAACAATGTTTTTACTTGATTTAAGAATGTATTTTATATTTGGACTAGAAACAAAACAAAGCGAAGTAAGAAAATCCTGTTTTGCATTGTGATGATTCAGTTTCTATACCTGAATAATGTTAGATTTCCCAGAGAACCGTCAAATCGAGCTATTTAAACCATCTTGTGAAACTGTATTTATATCACAAAATTTATAGAAGAAAAAAAAAAATTGCAATATCAGATTTTTCCAATTTTGTGCAGCCTTAACTGTAGTAAGGAAATTTAGCAGAACTTTAGTCATCTGGGGCAGAATTGGACACCATTGAATTAAACCAACTAAACCAAAGTAGTCAATGAATTATGACTGAATTGAAGCTCTCATCATGTTGTCTTGTCATTTTCTGCAGACCATCAGTGCCAGTGCAGTTTCAGTACTTTTTACCCACATACCCTTCACCCTCATATCCCCTGAGCCACACCTACACCCCCATCACAAGCTCTGTCTCCACCATCAGACCCTATCCAGGTAAATGCAACACACACACTCAAGCAGAACATCTGTGCAAGTGTTTAGATGCTACTAACATTTGCTCTTCTGAATCCTCCAGTCACGGCTCCAGCTCAGAGCTCGGCTCTTCCTGCTCAAACTGGTGTGGGAGTCGCCACCACAATGCACTTGAACCAAATGCAGCTGATGGCACTGCCATCTGCCCAGATCAGCACCCAAAACATCCAACCAGCCTCTATGACTGCTCAGGGCATTCAGCCTGCACCAATAGGAGTGCAAGGGCTGCATGCCGCTGCACCAATCAGCACGCAGACTGTACAGCAGGCTCCTGTCACCACACAACAGCCTCAGTCAGAAGCAAAACCAGCAGGTAAGTTTAAGTTTACACTTCTATAGATGATTAGTAAATGAGAATGTATTATCATTGTGTCTTAAGAAAGCTAACATTCTGTTTTTAAATCATTATTACTTTAATTTTGACTGGTTAAAGAAAAAAAATTATAATTTTTTAACCACCCATAATATAATACAATATGTTGTTTTACTTTGAGGCCAATAAAAATGTTGCCAGGTCAAATAAATAGATTCAAATGTTATAAGTGACATTGTTTTGCACAGTGTTTTTAACTCATTTTATTTATTTATATACATATTTTATCTTTTTTTGCTTTACAGGTGTTGTTTTGGCTGAAAGTCCTGCTTTTGTCACTAATCCAATTGGAAGCACTTTTAGTGGCACTCAGCCGGTCACTACCATTGTGCAGACTCACACAGGTGCAGGTGCTCCCACACTTGTGTCCTCCCCTCGACCCAGCATCCTTCGCAAAAAACCTGTAACTGAAGGGTATGTCATCACATTATCCTAAAACATGGTTATTTATAGTATGGAAACTACTAAGGAGTCAAACTGTGCATCATTTGTGAGCAGTAGCATTACAATATTCCCTCATAAATGATGTCCTGAGAAGTAACAGAATCCAGTGTACTCTTTTTTTTTTTTTTTTTTTTTTTAATTATTATTATTATTTTAAATTTTGAGTCAGAAAAATTTTAATAAATAATGTAAAATCACTTTTGGGGTTTATTTCTAGGGCAGTGCGTAAATGTCTGATTCAAGCGCAGCCGAGTGAGCCTAACGCTGGCCGAGTGGATAGTGGGATAAGGCTGTCGGGATCCCCTCGCCCTGCGGGGTAAGCCCTGCCTGAAGATCCTTTGTTGTCTTACAAAGATTAGTTTTAAATGTTCCCTTTACAGCACAGGTGTCGAACTCAGTTCCAAAAGGGCCGCAGCTCTGCACAGTTTAGTTCCAACCCTAATTAAACACACCTGATCAAACTAATTGAGTCCTTCAGGCTTGTTTGAAACCTACAGGTAAGTGTGTTGGAGCAGGGTTGGAACTAAACTGTGCAGGGCTTCGGCCCTCCAGGAATTGAGTTTGACACCCCAGCTTTACAGGGTTCCCAAAAATAATGGTTAAAATATAATTTTGTCAGTCCTGGATATGTTAAGTAAGAGTAAATTTACCAACTTTTCCAAACACCAGAAAACCTTTTTTTGATGGTGTAATTTTTAATCAAGATATGCTAACAGCATAGTGTAACCATGGTGTTGTGTCAGAAGTGTGATATATTCATACAGAAATGCAGTATTGTATATGCGCATTATATCTATTTATGGAGTAAAGGAATATAATTAATTTATTTTTGTTAAGCCATAGCTGTGTTTATGAATTTGTCCACCTAATGCACATGCAGTTACCAAGTTAAATCCTCCAAGCTTATGTACATCTGTCTGTGTTTTTTAACGCACAGACCACTTCTCAAACCTAGTGCATAAAAACAAGATCCTTGCATTACTTTATAATTAATATTTAATGATAGTCAAATATAATTGTATAATTAAATAATTATTGTGATAACTATGATCATTGATATATTGTCTATGTGTCTAATGGTAAGAGTTGCTAATATAAATTCTTCTATAGTACATTTTGAAAACATCTAAAAAAAATGTATTTGGAGAATTAAGAACAGCTTTTCTTTCTGCTGGAAATGATCAGAAATTTAGTGTTTGGTCTCTGTAAATGACTGCTGACTTGAAAATCTTGAAGGAAAAGTCCTCATTAATTGGAAAATGTGGGAACCCTGTTAACAGCTTTTGTATGTGTGTGATCTGTAGTGCCCACACTTTACTATACGGAAACATGTATTTACTAACACAAACAAACAACGAACAATGCTTGAACATTATTTATTAATCAAAGTTCAACATTTTCTAATGCATTATTAAAATTCAATGCTTGTTAATGCACGGTGAGTAAACACGAACAACTGTATTTTCATTTACTAACGTTAACACACAGTAATAAATACATTATTAAATATTTTGTTGATGTTAATAAATTCGTATATTTTACGAACTTCGTGTCTCATATTTTAATGTGTGTGACCTCTGTAGTTTAAAACCAGTTTTGAATGCATCTTGACATTCTGCTCTTTCTGTTGTTAGCGTGAAGCCCAAAGCTGACATTCATGTTGCAATGGCCCCTCCAGTGATGGCAGCAGTGGAGGCTCTGGTGGGTCATGTTGGTGAGCAGCAGACTCTGTCCACTCCTGTGCAGCATCATTCACAGGCCATTCCCACCCTTCTGGCTCCACCTGCTCCTGCACCTCCCTCTCAACCCACCGCCGTTCTTTCAGCCCTGCCCGCAACCATGGCAGTCACTCCACCTGTGCCTGCCTCCATGGCCAATGCAGTGGCCTCTCCTACCCAACCAGCGGCCAGCAGTACAGCTGCTCTGAGCTCTACGCTTCCTGAAGTTAAAATCAAACAGGAGGCCGAACCAATGGACACTTCACAAGCAGGTGGGTGTGTTCGTCAAAAGAAAGAATTCCTATAGACGAAGAAGTCCTGACAATAAGTCCTTTCTAATTGGTCCTATTCAATCATTTGGCGAAATTGTTTAGATGCAGTATATAACAATATATTTTGCAGAAAAATAAATTATTGCAAAATTAAATTTTTCCAATACCCTGCAGCCCTAGTTGTGTGTGAGCATTGCTGTTGATAGTATTATGAATTTAATATTGAACAGAATTGTGATATTTAAGATTTAAGAAGTCCTACAGCTCTGATAATTTGAAACAGGGACTACAAGTCTCTCCTCCATCTTTAAAAGTCTCCATAGTCGTCTAAACAACACAAACACTGCTGTCACCTCAACAGAAACTCCACCTCTGCTTTCATTTGATTGCAGAATGAAAAAGATGCGACTGACATAACGTGCTTTATCTGCTCAGAGTTTACTTTATTTCAACTGTGGGTACAAAGCGCACAATGACAACAACCCAAGGTGCCGCAGGCGGTTAAACACAAGGCAAGCAGGGCTTATAAGTACCGGACAAAATGCTCACGGCCATTAGAAAACCATTCAAAAGATGCACCTCAATGTAAATAGCGTGTTCAGTGTGATCAGGCCTTAGGATGCAGTTTGTTGTGTAAAAAGGACAAAAATAATCAAGCTATAATTAAATTTCTACCCTGGTGTTAATAGGATAAGAAAGAAAGAAAGAAAGAAAGAAAGAAAGAAAGAAAGAAAGAAAGAAAGAAAGAAAGAAAGAAAGAAAGAAAGAATAAAAAGAAAGGAAGTAAGGAAGGAAGAAAGGACGAAGAAAAGAAATAAATAAAGAAAACACTAGTGAAATCCTTTATACTGTACATACAGAAAATACAGGTCTACAATGTGCTGACCAGAACTAGTGTCCAGTACCAAGCTGGGAGTCGGGTTTGGGACTCAATCAGAAGGAGCAGGGTCAAGCTGAAAAGTTTGGACGTGTTTCTGAAGGGATTCGGTGAAGGGAGCACCTTTTCTCTATAATTTTATAAAATAAAGATCATTTTAGAAGATATTTTGAAAAATGTTATTAAAAGCTGTAATTATTGACTTCATTAGTGTTTGTTTTTCCTACTATTGAAGACAGTAGTTACAGTTTTTCAGCTCTCTTTGAAATATCTTCTTTGGTCTCCACTTTACTTAAAAATAGTGATTACATTTAAATTTTTGGTGAACTGTTGCTTTAAGAAGTCAGCATGTCAAAAACTGAATGTGTGACATATGCTTGGCAGATGCTAATGTGTTAATGGCAAGTATTTTGGATGAAACTACTTTCAAGTCGTTAATATACAGATGTTTACTTCAGCGGTGTAAGATGAACAAAAGTCAATGTCATGAAAAACAAGAAACAAATCCAATTCATTTTTAATATTACTCACTCATTTTGAGAAAAGTATTAACCAGTCACCCTAAAAGATTTTTTTTTCCTATTGACGGAAATGGAGATCTTTCCTGTTTGCTTCAGAGTGTGCAGTAAGCTTTTAAAGCAGGGGTGTTTAAACATGTTCTTGAAATGTCTCTGACCTGCTGAGTTTAACATTTGCCCTAATTAAACACATCTGAAACGGCTAATCAGGGTCATTGAAACATCCAAGAATGTCTCTTCAGGATGTCGGCTCTCCAGGAACATGGTTGGACATTTTTGCAATAATGCATATTGTCAAAACAAAATGAAGGATAACTCTTCTTTAAAATCTGTCATTTATCTGTTGTATGGTCAATTCTCCGTCCAGTTTCAGTAATGTCTGCTCAAATAAGCATTCTGATTTGGGCTTTAACGAGTTTGTTTGATCTCAGTACCTTTAGCTCCTTCCTTGACGGGTCCAGCTCCATCCCTCTCCTCACAGTCCTCGACTCTGACTGTATCTGCTCAACCTGGAGAGCTTCTGCCTGGTGCCTCTCCAAGGAAGAAACCCCGGAAACAGCAGCATGTGATCTCCACTGAGGAGACGGAGATGGTGGAGACTAACAGCACAGATGAAGAGAGAGCTAGCAGTCGAGCTCCAGGAAACAGAATGGAAAGACATGAGTCACCACCTAGGGAATATGTTGGTAAGTCTACACACATACACACACATTTGTTTTTGTGAATTGAAGGATAACCCATAGGGTCACTAGTGCGTGCACAAGCCAGGAGATTGAAAACAAGGGAAGCACCATTTTTACATACACATCCGAGATGTATTCATTCCGAGATGATATTATTCAAATAATAATGAGCCATGGTCGATCTGAACTCAAACAAACCTTGTCGTCATCTTGATGAACAACCACAAAGCCAAGAAGAAGAGCTGAATCCGCCATTTGTCCTCTTGTTGTTTATGAGGGTGTCTAAAACCGTGAGTGGTTTCACTTTCTTCAGAGAGCTTGTTGTGTGCTTGCCGCATTTCTATATTTAAAATAGCAAACTACTTGAGCTCATGATGAAAATATATGTGTGATTATTGAAGTACTTCTGACATCCAATCCTTTTAAAACATACAAACGTTAAGCAGATACAGTCCTTTTAAAACAAGGGAGAAGCTGGAAAAAACAAAAGAGCAAATGATTCTTTCAAGCAACCTAAAACATGAACAAACTACCATGTTCAACTATTATCACCATCTTTTGGACTATTATGAACTCGTAATGATGGAATTACTTTCTAACAAGAGGTTACATGTGCTGGTAAAGATTAAAGATACAGATGAGAGGTTTGCACTGACTGTGGGCTATATGTTGCGTGTTGTTTTTAAACCTAAATAAGGACTTAATGTATGCTTTGTGTAGTTTTTCTGTAATTGCTAATTGATCTGCAGTTATAATCAAGTCATGTTCAGAGAAAGGTTAGTAATGAATATTTATACACAAGAAATTATGCGTATAAAGAATTTGTTTTGTAAGAAGTTTGATATCATATGATATGCATGATATCATATGATTAGCAACCCATACAACTTTACTTCGACATTTCCTCGAGCAAGGAACCGTACCGTACCACTCAGTGGAAATTGGCTATAAATCATGTTTTTCTTATCAAAACGGTGTCATACCCATGTCATAACACAAATTTGTGCCACAAAAACACACATTTTTATGCTCTGTTAGTAACTGAAGCTGATTAATATGGTGTGTTTGTGCATCTGTTCTATTAGAAAGGTGAAGTTGTCAGTATGAAATTTCAAAATAATTATTTACAGATGCAGTCAGCACCATGCAGTCGTTTTGAATTCAATTTATTATATAATTTTAATCATTTATATATTTATTTATTTTTTTACACAATTTAGGTTATCAAATGTTGGGTTATGCTAAGAAGCTATGCCACATTAAGCTGCTTTGACAATCTACATTATAAAAAGTGCTATAAAAATAAAGATGAATTGAATTATTAGAGGCATGATTTTACCTATAGAAAGAAGAATGTCCTAAAAAATGAAATCAAATTTTGAAATGTATTTAACCTAATAAATAGGATGCAATATAAAATAGAAGTGTAAAAATATGTAGATATTATGTAAATGTTACATTATTTTAAAGTACATTGAATAAAGGCTTCTATTTATGGAAATAAAATGAGTATTATTATTATTGCCAACTATTAATCACTAATAACAATATTTAAATGATCACTTATTGCATAGGATTAAAATATTATACAGAATATCAACTTTTAATTTAAATGGGTGTATATAATTATTTTGAAATAAATAATTTAGATGTACATACATTAGCATTATACAATATTACACATCACACACAATCTGTGTCTCTCTCAGCTGTTGTTTGGTTGTTCTAGTTGGTATAATTAGCTTACTTTTTTATTTTTTTGTAATAGTCCAAAAATAGCATGTACACTTATTGAGTTGTAACTTTGATTGTATTACTGTAGATGAGGATGGTGTTCGTTACGTGCCGGTGCGTCCCAGACCTCCTCACACTCACCTTCGCCAGTACCGAAACCCATGGAAAGCTGCATATCACCACTTTCAAAGATACAGTGATATCAGAGTGAAAGGTAGGAATAAACTCTCGGCGCCCTGCTTTCTTAGTTCGGGCTTTGATTTTGTTGTGGATTGCAGTGTTTTCAAAATCATTCTTCTGTCTTCACAGAGGAGAAGAAAGGAAGCCTTCAGGACATGGCCAATCAGAGAGGAGTAGCCTGTCGTGCTCAGGGCTGGAAAGTGCATCTGTGTGCAGCACAGCTGCTGCAGCTGGTGGGTTCTGCAGATGAGTGTGTTTCCCCCCTCATAAGTCTCATGAGCGAATGGATACATGATAGAAATTTCACTGTGTTATAATGACATCTTACGCTGTTATGAATTATAAAGCCTTGCATTAAGCCAGTATTATAGTAAATGAATTTATTTTTTGTTTTAATCACAGTCTAACCTGGAGCATGATGTGTACAGCCGGTTGACCACTCTGCAGGAAGGGCTTATCCCAAAGAAGAGAGCTGGAGCAGATGATGACCTGCACCGCATCAATGAGCTCATACAGGTGAGGATCTTCACAGTACTGCCTTGTGACCATAAAGACTAGAGCTGCTCTATTATGCGAAAAATCATAATTGTGATTATTTTAATTGTAATCACAATTATTTAAAAGTGATTACATTGACTATATATGACCGAAAGGATTTGTCTGTTATTAAGCCCTCATGTATAAAGTTTTCCCCAAGTTTAACGGAAAGGAGATTTTTTTAACACCCTTCCAAACAAAATAGTTGCAATAGCTAATTTAGAATTGATCTTTTATCTTTGCCACGATGACAGTACATAATATTTTACTATATGTTTTTCAAGATTCTAATATTCAGCTTAAAGTGACATTTAAAGTCTTAACTAGATCAATTAGGGTAATTAGGCAAGTTAGGGTAATTAGGCAAATCATTGCATAACAATCACATTAAAAAAAAAAACATACTGCTCAAGGGGGCGTATAGTTTTGACCTAAAAAAAAACTAAAAACTGCTTTTATTTTAGCTAAAATAAAACAAACAAGACTTTCTTCAGAATAAAAAATGTAGGAAATACTGTGAAAAAATTCTTGCTTTGTTTGAACAGGTATGTATGTGTTAGGGCTGCACGATACATCGTTTCAGCATCGAAATCACAATGTCCGCATCCGCGATAGTCACATCGCAGGAGGTGCGATGCAAAGCAAAAAAAATAAATAAATAAAAAAAAGAGCGAAAAATACTTTACTGCATTACTATTTTTGTTAAATAAATTTTTGTATCTGAACTGGGTTTCAGAGGCAGTTTATAAACTTGTAGCGGACTTAAAGCGGAGTTTGTTCGTATATTATTCCATTACGCTGCATTATTGACGTCTGCAATCTGTTCCTCTCAGTTTATGTAAGTTAGCTCTGTTAGCGCGGTAATTAAGACAATAGACTGTTGACAAAGTAACGTTAACGTTCGGTTATAAAGGTTAAAACGATGCTTGTGTAGTTGTGTCGAATTGTATGCACTTTTATGAGTTTTATGGTACGTTTAAATTACTGTCATTTGCAGACAGCAAGATATATGCTAAGCTAGTAAACCTTAGCATAACTTTCTTCTTATTTCTTCTTATTTCTTCTTATATATATATATATATATATATATATATACACATCTTTGCGCGTCACTTATTAACTTTTAGGCACCCAAATAGATGAGTGAGGCTGCTGCTGAGTCATTCTTGGTCCTCCACCAGCCAAAAAAAAAAAACTTGCTCTAGTTCTTTGTGGAAGAATTTTACAGTCAGTGGTGCAGCAGATATAACAGTGATACTGTATGTAGTGTGCGCAAAAGTATATCTTAAGTGTATATATATATATATATATATATATATATATATATATATATATATATATATATATATATATATATATATATATATATATATATTGCAGGAGAAAAAATATCGCAATGTCAATTTTTTCCAATATCTTGTAGCCCTAGTATGTATGTATGTATGTATGTATGTATGTATGTATGTATGTTTTTCCTTGTAAATAAGGATGAAATTTCACCTGTGCACATTAAAGATCATTAAATTTCACAATTCTTAATACTGAAGCAGAATGGTACAATGGAAAAAATAAGCTCTCAGAATTGAGAAAAAGGAAAGAAAATACATGCAATAGTCTAATAATATGAAGCAATAATCATTCTATCTTGATTCAAGGTTTTTATAATCGTTAAAGGCCAACATTTTAATTGAATTTTGATAAATTGGCCTAATGGAGGCTACTGCTTAATGTTTAAACAGACTAGTCTAAAAAAGTCAAAAACAGTAGATTTGATTTGTCTTTTGGAAATAATTAAAGTAAAATAAATAAAGTTACACATTGCAACAGTTAGGATCAAAATATTATTATTTTCTAATTAGCAAAAACATTTTTAGTTTTCTGGTTTTAATTCGGTTTTGCTACATCTTTGGAATATAATCTTTATTTATTTTGTTGTTTTTTGATGTTAATGTGACCTATTCTTTCTCAATTCAAATCATGAGGCAAAAATGATTCAGAACTCTGGCAGTAACACGGAACTACATGTCCTGTTCAGACATAAAAAAGCAAGCATAACCTTTCAGTGTTTTCCACAGGCTGTAGTTGAGGCAGCATTTCAAATACATACATAAATAGCAAGTTATTTAATGTTGAACTTGTGGAAACAGCAGAATGTTTAATAAATAATGTTCAGACTGCATGATTTTAGCCCGGAATTTTGACCTGCTGACAGGATTTAAGAAATTGCGGACAAATACCTGATATCAAAGGCAAATCGGTGCTCATTTATGCGAGTAACAAATCACACAGTATGAACTATGATAGACTGTGAAATCTAAGATGATTGCTGATGAGTCGCCGACATCCGTGAGATTTTTGAAATGCTAAATATCAGGACCTGTTGGCAATTCAAATCAAGCAGCATCCACTAGTATCGCTATCTGCAGGCCAGCAGGAAGATGGGGAGAAGTTAAAAGGGCTTCTTTGCGGTCTATTTGGACCCGAGAAATTAAAAGGAAAACAACTGGAAACTTGTCAGGAGCACCTGTTCTGTTTGACGTATCATCTGAGCAATATCCCAACCGGGTCGAAGAAGAAAAAAGTTGTGGAGAAATTGCTAATTCCTTTCAAAAGCCAAGTTAGCAAAATAAGTAGATTTTCTACCCCACTAAAGGCTTCTTTCTCATTATCTAGTTAATAACAAAAGATATACTACAACCTTGCGTTGTTTCCATGTCACTTCTCACGTGTGTTTGCGGGCCGAGACAAAATTGTCTGCAATTCTTTTAATTCTACAGTCATACAGTGTAAAAACATCTGTGACATGACTATTTTGAAAACTGTGCAGTCTGAACTCTGCATACAGGTGTGACAAGATTTTGGGGCATGACATCTTGTAAGATCTGACTGGTCATGCACCAAACCAGATGCTTGCTCGTAGCCAGAACCTAGTTCTAAATCAATTAACACCAAAATCACTGATTCTGAACAAGGAAAAGTGATACTTTAGTACCAACAAAACATTGCTGGGCTGTAAGTGAGAACTGTTTGTGACCGTCGCTGATGGTGTGGTTAATGAACAAACTTTTGAGTACCATAATTGAAATGGCCGTGAAACATTGTGCTGAACTCATCATTGCTTCTTGGTCCATTCAATTAACAGTCCGTTTATTATCTCTCGTAATCTCCATATATGTATAAGCTACAGCTCAGTGCATGAACACATTGGATTTGCTTGGTTGGATGCCTTTGCAGGTTCTCAAACGTATTAATATTAAAAGCAGCACACTGTTAATAATTTGTAATAAATTTTCAATCTATTTGTGACCATTTGATTTGACTCTGTCCAGGGTAACATGCAGCGCTGCAAGCTTGTGATGGATCAGGTCACTGAAGCTCGTGACACCATGATGAAAGTGCTAGACCATAAAGACAGAGTCCTCAAGCTGCTCAACAAGAACGGAACCCCCAAGAAGAGCTCCAAATTAAAGCGCAAAGAGCGGGCATAAACGCCAAACCATGCTCTCTTCTCCTTCAGCATAGTCCAACAACGGAAAGCTGGACCAGTCACGGTTTATCAGGTTGCTGTGCACAATCATCTACTTTTCTTTTACAGTCTCAAAGAAAAAGATAGACCTTCGTAAACCATCAAACCATTTTTATAGGAACTGCTGCTTACTGTGGGCTGTCAGACTGTCCATTGGACATGAGGCAGCCTGGATAACCAATGCTTTTAGTTTCGATTTTTTTTTTTTCCCCTGAAGAATTTTTCATTTTAAAAGAACATTGTGTTGACTTATTATGATTTTTTTTTTATGTGTAGAGCAACACTTTTATCGTAGTGGACTTTAAAGATCAGAAAGGTCATGTTTGTTAGATGTTATGCCTATATTTAGTTGGGTTCACAACAGTACTTACTGCACACACACATTTAAAATAGTGTGTGGTCTTTCCATGTTTGGTGCCTTGTAACATGGATTTTTTTTTCTTGCATTAAATACAAAAGTTAAAGATGAACACTCCCATGAAAGTCAACACATTAAGTCCACAATAAAAAATAAATGAATCAAAGCTAATAGTCTTGTACTAACCAGATATTATGCCCTCTAACCGTTCTAGTTAGTGTTTTTATTTTGAATCACTGTAAACATTCAAGCGCTCTAGTGACTGATGATAGTACAAAGCAGTGAAATATGTGTACTTGAAAGAATCAGTATAATTATGTGAATTTATATTCTAAGAATGTCTGGATTGTTTTATGTTTCAATGTAAGAAGATTGTTGTAAATGGAAGTGTCGTGGTTTTCACTGTCCTATTTGAGCTGTTTCACAGACTTTAAGTGAATGTTGTTCTGCGTTTGAATAATAATTTGGCTATTTTGTACATTTTCTTTTTCATTCTTTGACTTTTTCTGTGTACTTTATTCTGTGCTATTGCAGTAAAACTGGATACATTTACAAAGCATCTCGTTTAACAATTATGTTTGGCACTGAATGCACCTCATAAGACTTCCTGTGTGAAAACTTTTTTTTTTTTTGTCGTACATACAATTTTGGAAGCCCATTTCCTTCAAAAAATTTAAAAAATAAAAGGTTATTGTGACTTTTTGTCACAATTTAAGCTTTTATTTTCATAATTGCATAATTTAGAACACACATCCCTCCCTGCTCTCCAAAGCCACGCCGTCTGAAGTCATGAATGCACACTGAATAGATGACCATAGACAACCTTATAACACTAGACCATGGCATTCACTAGTTTAAAAACTTTATAGTACATTGAGTGGTTATTTGAGTTACTGTTGCCTTTCTCTCAGCCGGAACCAGTCTGGCCATTCCCCTCTGACCTCTGGCAACAACAAAGCATTTTTACCCACAGAACTGCTGCTCTTTGGATATTTTCTTTTTTTTTGTAAACCCCAGAGATGGTTGTGCATAAAAATCCCTGTAGATTAGCAGCTTCTGAAATGCTCAGACCAGCCTGTCTGGCACAAAAACCATGCCACGTTCAAAGTCACTTTAATCACCTTTCTTCCCCATTCTGATGCTCAGTTTGAACTGCAGATCCTCTTGACCATGTATACATGCCTAAATGCCCTGAGTTTCTGCCATGTGATCAGGTCATTTACCTTAATCATTACTATTCGAATGCAGAGACTTTCAACAAGCACAAAAAAAGATGTTGTTGACCTTTAACACCTTAAACTATTGTCAGTTTGTTGATAGTGGTGTGTCTATATTTCCTTCTACAGAACCAATGAGGAATCAGCTACAGAGTAGAAAATCTGGCCTGCTGTTTTACTGATCATTACTGCTTGAACAGATTTATAACATTACATGTTTTGAATATGCTAAAGAAGGTGGAAAAATATACATTTTATCAATCCAAAATAAGCAACTAGTTTTTTTTTTTTGTTGTTGTTGTTGTTTTCTTTTGCTCTCTTTTGCTCTAAATCAGGGGTGCCCAAACTTTTTCTTATGAAGGGCCAAAAACCAAACTTGATTAGGTGTGGTGAGCAGAAGGTAAATACATCAAACTATATTTCTTTAAAATTGCCATTGGTGATTTTCTAATTTATTTAAAATTTAAAAATAACTAGAAACATAGTTTTTTATTAACTAATGTAGTGCATATTTTAAAATTTTAAAATGAACTTAAAAGTAAAAAAAAAAAATCCCATTGGAGAATGGAGTTACACTAGTCAAGCTGCACCTTGTTTTGCCTTCATTTCCTCACCAATATCTTCTGCGTTGTCTTTTGTTCATTGAATAACAGTGTCTATATATATATCTATATATATATATATATATATATATATATATAAATCTGATTCATTTACAGCATTTAATTCATAATTAGCTTCATCACTCTGTCTCCTCTCCACCAATCAGCTGGTGTGTGGTGTGCAGTCTGGCGTAATATGTAATATGAGTTAATTAAATACCTCATTACTTCAACTTAAATTAAGTAAGTTCACAGTACCTATATAGATTTTTTTTTTTTTTTTTTTTTACTCATGGTTTGTTGCAATCGGTTTCCTCAATCGGTTTGAGTTGCCTTAACGTATTGATTTTTACAGTACTCAGTTGGTTCATGTTCTCTTAATTTATTGGGTTTTGCTGTGCTCAAATTGCTTTGTTTACTCAAATAGATTAAGTTCACAGTGCTCATTAGGATTCATTTTTTAACTTAAATGGCTTGTTGCAATCGGTTTCCTTAAAATGGTTTGAGTTACCTTAACTTTTTGGGTTTTACAGTGTATAATTTATTTTTTACATTTTAGTTGGTCTAACAAAATGTTATGGATATTTTTTATTTGATTAATGTGTAGCTAATGAATGAAAATGACCTTCATGTTGTGAAAAAGTCATTACAGCAAGCATTCCTGCATTGATTGTGAAAGTCTGATATCTGATCCAGATTCTTCAAATATTTTAAACTCAAATATGTTTAATCTGATAATGATGTATACGTTTCATCTGAGAGTATATTCCCTTCACAGTTCAGACACAGTTCAATTGCTCGGTTTCTAAAAGCACCGCTCCACATAAACTAGAATCATTACGCATCCTTTCAATGGAGTTTAGTATTGGCCAGTGGAAATATGACTTTCCAGAAGGGCTCCACCCTGGGTAACTATGACACTGTGCTGTTTACAACTTGATTGCCCCTTATGATCAGAGCTCAGCCCTCCATATGCTGTCACGCGGGTACAAAGGTTCAACTTTACCATTGAAAAGCATTATGTAAAACAAAGTATTTGTATTTTGTTTACTTTACTTTTTATCCACCTTTCCATATGCAGCTGATATTTGCATCATCACTGTGTCCTTTCATGTCTGGATTGCTTTTATCACATTTTTACAAGCTTTCATTGTATAAGAGACTTTATTTTGAAGCTTTCAATTGTTATTCTCAATCTCCAGTGTGTTTTGTGGAATTTACAGTCTACTAATGGCTGTATTTGTCTCTTTTTGTTCATGTTTTCTGATGTAGAGGTCCAAGTTTCCTTGTATGTATCATTAGAGATGCGTCAGTCAGAGAGCAAAGTCAAAGTGTCATAAATAGCTGTTGTTTCAGAGCAGGCACCTGAGGTCGTTTCTTTCGACCGAACGCTTTCTGAGAAGAGGGCCAAAAAGCACTTCTTCATAGGGAGACTTCCCCAAATATACACAGGTAAAGGTTACTTGGATTAGAAGTGATAAGGTTGATTGATTAAAATGTTTAGATGCACTCAAATAATGACTTGTGCTGCTTGTTCAAGCAACAAACAACACAATTGTTTGTTTTTTGTTTTTTGAGACAACCTAATTGTTTTATGTTCAATCCACTTAACTTTGTAAAAATTATTAAGTTCGCATATTTTGTACTTATATTTTTGTAGTTATGTTTTATACTTTAGTACTTAATGAAACAATTATGTGATTGTATTTGAGCTAATGTGTTTAAGATGGCCTTTTGCTTTTGTTCATCAGCTCTGTTAATGGCTTTTGCGTGGCAATAATTGATTTTAACATGTCATTTTGCTTTAATATTCAGGCTGGGGGACTGAAGGACACAATCATGGTGGTTTTAAGGAAGGCAAGTTGTTTTAAGTGTTTGTTGAGGCACAACCATGACATCACAATTTAAACGTTGTGCACAATTTTGTTTATAATTTTGATTAATCTAACTTAACATTAAAGTAATAGTTCACTCAGAAATACTTACTCATATAAAGTGGTTCCAAATTTTTGAGTTTTCTTATGTTGAAAACTAAATGAGATAATTTGAAGAAAGCTGAAAACTAGTAACCATCAATAGTAGGAAAAACTATAAAAATCGATGGTTACAGGCTTACAGCTTTCTTCACAGTATTTTCTTTTGTGTTCAACAGTAGAAAGTTAGTCAAACAGATTTGGAACAAGTGAAGGGCTATAGTAAATAATGGCAGAATTGTCAGTTTTGGTTGAACTATCTCTTTAAATTATTAATTCTGTTGACTATCTGTTAATTGAAGTATCTAATTTTGATTTGACTCATACTTTAATGTCCAAAAATATATCAGTGTAATAAGGAAACACACACATTTATGACTGATTTATAGATAGTATGACGTTGATTGTATGCAGCGTTGTTTTTTTATTGTAACATTAATTAACAAATACATCCGTTTTACTCTGTTTATGGATTTGCTGCGTTTACAAGGTGTGGATGTAAAAATTAATGCTTATTTTATGCCGTAAAGTCCTAAAACAAATTTAATCCAAATTTTAAGTCTAAATATTGCTCTTTAGACAGCTGACAAATAATCAAAATAAAAAATAGTGTCATTTTTGTTGTGATTGAAATTTAGGGTTCTCAAGTAAAAAAAATACATAAATAATGTATATACTTTTTTCAGTTTTCCTTTAGATAAAATACTGGTATTGTGTTGATACAGCTGAATATATTGCTGAAAAGATTGCTACTTATTATTTCACGCAATATTTTATATATAAAAAAGAAATAAAAGACACCGTTTTTATTTTAAATTTGTAAGAAATGTTATGAGAAGATTGCAAAATAAAACAAATGATGTTTTACTCAAACACAACTTTAAAATCTGCATCAATGTATTTCAATAGCTGTACATATGGTTAAAAATGAGAAATACCATTTTGTTGTGTAATATGCACATTGGATAAACATTAGATGCTAGTAAAGAGTCTTTTCATTTATCATGTTAAAGTTTATTTTTATTATTAAACATTTTTATTAATTTTTATTATTAAACATTAAATAATGTTTTGTTGTTATTTGTGTATTTGTCAAAATTAAACAAACCGGTGTTTTTTGCCATTTTACTTATTAAATATGTAAAATAATAAGCGTTTATACTAAATTGTATAATATTTCAAGTAAAAACATGAATGAATTAAACATTTTGTAACATTGTAGTCTGAAGAATAGTGTCTAAGTACATTTTTTGAACAATCTTTTTATTGAGATGTAATAAAAATATGACAAAATAACATTACAATCATATTTACATCTTTGAAAAAAGCTAAATTAAAAATAAAAATAAAAACATACAAAACTAAGAAAAAGGGATAAAAAAAAAAGAAATAAAATAAGGAAAAAAGTAGGGGAGAGGACAGGTTGTTTAAACTAGTAACACATTTTTCTAGAAAAAAAAAAAAACATAAGGAAGAAATTGTTAAAATGCAAATCGGCATGCACCAGATCATTAATAAGCGTTAATGATGGCTTGTTTAAATAAATCTTTGGAAATGGGGAAAATATGTAGATAGGCTAAGTCAGCGGTCTACATTTAAAATGACTGTTAACTAATATTTTATGACTACATTGTCAGCCTTAAATTTAGTTTTTTAAGGTTTTATCAATATTTAAATACACATTTAAATAATATTTATTGTTCTAATATGCCTGACATGATGTTTTGGTATATAAACTTTTTTTTTCACACTGAATTAGCCTACATT